TTAAATATTAATTTTAACAACGATAGAACTGTTGATGCTGATCTATTCGTAAATTTTCGCATTTCCTCTAAACAAAAGAAAAATAATCATTATTAACAATATTGCAATGCATTAATTATTAATATATTCAAAGATACTTACATTAGCTCTATTTTTACGACTTTTGAACGTTTGCCACTCTAAAGCTTTCATATCAATAAATACAACTATTTGCGAGATAAAATACATATTAGTAACTGGGATATCAATAGCCTAAAACAGAATTCAATAAATATAGCACAACATAACCAAATATATGAATTTAATTTCTACATACCTGTTCAAGACTATCATTATAAAAATAAAAACACACAATCGATTGGCGTAATCTCTTTCGTAAATCCTTTTCGCTTAAATCTGTTAGTTCAATATAATTATTAATTAATTCAGCGTAGTCTGGTCGCCTGAAATAAAAAATCAATTCAATTAATCAACAATTATGCAGGATAATAGATATATTGTGCCTTTTCGAATATAAGGCTAATAACAATTAATAACTAGTGGGGCGCATGGCATCGTGCCTTAAAGCAAATTGCTGGAACTTCCCGTACCGTAATTAAACATTCGAAGAATAAAAATAATAAGTCAACAAAAATGTCTATGAATAAATATTATAAAAACTAGCATTTTCATTATATGTTCCTTGTAGACAAAATGTGAAAACAGAGATCCTACTTAAAATTAAATACTACTTATCTTATTTAATTTTTAGAATAAGTAAAAAAAAAGTTACCTAAGAGTATTATTATCAGTAACACATCCTATTAAAAAGTTAAAGATTAATGCTGTATACATGAATTTCAAATTACACAAAGAGTAATTAAGTTTCAAGTGAATAAATGTAAGTTCATAGTTAATAAACAATAAATATAGCATTTTCACTACATAAGTTCAAAGTTAATGAACAATAAATATAACATTTCCACTACAATCCAGAAAAACAGTAATCTAGTTTTCTTGTTTTTTGTTATAAAAAATTGTTACAAAATGAAAATAATATCTATTGGTTTTGTTATCTAAAATGACAGTATTTTTTTTAGTACAATAAAAAATAAATAAAATCATACCTGAGATATTCCATTAGAAATCTGTGAGCTTCATATAAATCCTTTTGCTCCGTAGATCTTGATATCGATCTTAAACACAGCTTTAAAGCGAACTCTTTAGAGGCTGAAAATAAATTCATGTATAAAATATATGATTATATAATTATAATATATAATAATATATAAGAGGAAGAATAAGGGATGTGTTTGTGGTAAATAAATAAATAGATATGAATGTTTACAAAGACATTTGCATTGATATTAATAATGACATGAAAATGTGTCAGAAAAACTACAAATTATAAATGATTCAAAAACACTTATTCAAAACTAACATCGGAGCAAAATTATAGTGTGTATTAGAATTATAGTGAATTAAATTTTTATTCATAAGGTCATTTATTTATTTGCATCTGTTTTCTTTTGAAAATGGATAAATAGATGTAAAAGTTTACGAAGAAAATTGCATCGATTATGCATATTAATAATATATACAAAAATGTGTCAAAAAAACACATCAAAATAAGTGAAATTATAAATGATTGCAGAATTAATTTAATTCATATTAAATAGCGTTCATATTAAAATGTTAGAATCTTTTATAACATTTAAACATTTTATAAAATAAATATTATATTTTGATGGAAAATCCATACATACATTTATATATTCATTTATACAAATAAATAAGTATTCAGAACATTTTTGTTGAAAACAAATGAGCAAGTTTACAAAGTCAATTGCATCTTATCGATATATTTATAATATACTTGAAAATGTACAAATGTAATTATAAATAACTCAAGAACACTTATTCAAAATCTCATCAAAGTGAAAACAAAAAGTACTAATAGTTTGTTTATAACATAAGTCATTAATTTACTTAGATATGTTATTCTTTCGAAAATAACTCAATCACTTTTTACTAAATGAAATGCGATAGAGCATATTTGTAATGTACATAAAAATGTGTCAGAAAAACTTCAAAATAAATGTAATTATGAATGATTGAAGACTTAATTTAATTTAATTCAAATCAAATTGTGTTCATATTGAAATATTAAAATCTTTCATTATATCTATAAAACATTTTATAAACAGAATATTCAGAAATTAGATGTGAATGAAATGGAGCGCAGGTAAAATATATAATGAACTGCCAATCGATATTAAGAATACCAGTGACGACAATAATTTCAAAAGAAAAATAAAGGAATACTGTAAAGAAATTGAAGATTAAATAGATATTTAAAAATATTTTAATTATAATAAATATTATATTATTGTATAATGAAGTAGACAAATGATATGTATATATAAACTAGTTGGTATTGGTATTTTGAATTGATGCAAGTTACATAAACTTACCGGTATTTGTAAATAATCGACTTAATCAATAAAAAATAAATTAATTTATGAGTAATTAAAAGTATTCGAGTGGATTTATTACACATAATTGAAAACAAACGTACACTTTAACTAGGAGTATTTTCTAAAAGCAAATTTTTAAAAATCAACAATTTTTATAATTGAACCAGTTTCCGTAAGACTTTAATGATTTAGTATGTTTATTAAGACCAAGTACTCTTCCATTATACCAAGTAAACCGTTTAATTTTAATTTTAACAAACATAAAGAAAAAACTACTCTTTTTCTTAAACTTTGATGAGTTTTTAAAATTAAACATGGTGTATATCGCCATAAAAAGTTCCATAAAATTTTCTTTCAACAGTTAATTACAAGAAAACGGCTCAGTAGATTTTCACCTAAAGTTGATCAGTATCATTCACATCTAATATCTTTCGAACAGTTTTTGATTTTTTTAAATTGATTTGGTAGTATTAAGGTAAATAAATAAATAGATGTCAAAGTTTAGTAAGTCAAATGCATCGATAAAGCATATTTATAATGCACATAAAAATGTGTCAGAACTTCAAAATAAATGCAATTATAAATGATTAAAGAATTAATTCATATATCAAAGTGTTCATATTGAACTGTTAAAACTTTTCAGTATTTCTATGAAACATTGTCATCTTATAAATTACATTTTTTGAACATTTTTGAAAAACTGAGTTTTAACCTGAGACTCTGGCTTCATTTGATGTCAAATTAGAAAATATTATTTGATCACATCAGTTCACCTTGGACCATTAATATGTCTCCTACTTACTTGGGAAAACATCCGATCTTGTAATTTTGGGAGCCGGGGGCTCCACGGGCTCCTTGTTATTATCTATGTGCCTCCTCATCTTCGCTGCTAAACTTGCACCTTCAATGACCTAGCTTTACCTAACAAAACCTTTTTCACAAATATATGTACCGTCTTCGATGCTTCATAAACGCGACGCATGTTTAATTCGAACTCACTTTTGTCTTGTTATAAACAATCTAGAACAGAATAAAAACGACAAATTAGAATACGTATGTACGAATATAGCACACATCTTTTTTGTTGTCACTCACGACAAAAATGAATTCACTAAAATATTCTTATAAAACACATGCAACGTTTAATGTTTGTATTAATGACATATCAACAAATGGCTTCGACGACGGGTGGTATAAATATGAACACAAATTCTCTTTGTATTGACAATTATAGTAGGGCATTTTAGGAATCATGGAATAACAAGTAAATCAGATAGCCTGAGCCATAGAAAACCAAATTAATAAGAGCGGGATGGGCGACTGTCTCCGAACGCTCTGAACATGGTGCGCGACAATTGCGCGTCTTGCAGCGAAGAACTGCGCGAGAAAATGGCGCCAGATTTAAACGAATGACATCATAGTTTTAACTAGTGGGGCGCATGGTATCGTGTCTTAAGGCAAATTGCTGAATCTTCCCGTACCGTAATTAAACATTCGAAGAATAAAAATAATTAGTCAACAAAAATGGCTATGAATAAATATTATAAAAACTAGAATTTTCATTATTAGTAGACAAAATGTGAAAACTTATTAGATTAGACGACGTTGTTTATATATGTAAATGTAAACTATATATAACCAAAATATATACATATAAACAAAATCTTATTAAGCGGACTTATTTTTCGAATAAATATATTTCATTTCAAATGTATAAATTTTTCGTTCGCGATATATATGCACTGAGTTAACAATTTGAAATAGTTCATGTAGTATCAACTATACAAACATAAAAAGTATTAATTTTTTTTTAAATATTACAGCCGCGCGATTCGAACCCGATCAGTTTTGACTTTCTTATCTAACTAACGCGAACGAAAATCCCAGTGACGCGCCAACTAACTGAGCTATAACGACATGCACAAACACAACTCTATGAGCGGATTGGAATTCTTACACTTTTTGATATGTATCTTCGAAAAGGCTGGACCTGCCATACCAAAATTTCCATCAATTCTTTTTTTCGTCAATACAAGTAAAATGTTTTTTGAATCATTCAAATGGGGTACTCCAGTCTCCCAAAAACTGAGTTACCATTTTTGGCACTTTTTGCCCCGTAGCTTCGAAACGGCTGGAATAGCCTTCGCTATCAATAAGTCTCCACATCAATACCAATCAAATGTTTTTTGAATTATTCAAATCGGTTGATTGGTGTTCCAGAAATCGTCGACAAAAATTTGTATCCGCATACACACATACATCAATTTTTTATAAAGTATGCCAAAATATTCAGAAACCTTTGAAACGTTAAGATATACACAAAATTTCATTATCGATTTTGTTGCGATTACTATAACTTCACTAAGTTAAAAATATCCAAGTTGTATAATATCTGGGATTTGGTAATATTTTTTTTTTATATTTCATATATATTTTTAAACATAAATTTTGAAAATACTAGTGGGGCGCATGGCATCTAGCCTTTTTTCAAAATCAGATGTTCATCTTGTCAATACAAGTAAAATGTTTTTTGAATTATTAAAATCGGACGCTCCGTTCTCTTAAAAACTGCGTTACCGTTTTCGGCACTTTTTGCCCCGTATCTTCGGAACGGCTAGACCTGCCTTTGCCAAAAACTAATCAGCACGACTCCTTATCAATATGAATCGAATGTTTTTTGATATATTTAAATCCGTTAATCGGTGTTCCCGAAATCGTCGACGAAAATTTGTATCCGCGCATACACACGCACACACATACATCCATTTTTTCTAAGGTATGCCAAAATGTTCAGAAACCTTTGAAACGTCAAAGTATAAATATCAAAATTTTCATTTTCGATTTTTTTGCGATTACTATAACTTGCCCTACGGAAAGTTAAAAATATTAATAACTTCCCGTAAGGTAAGTCAAAGCAATCGCAAAAAAATCGAAAATGACATCTTTAGGTTTCAAAGATTTCTGAATATTTTATCATACCTTAGAAAAAAACGGATGTATGTGTGTGTGTGCGGATACAAATTTTTGTCGACGATTTCTGGAACACCAATCAACCGATTTGAATAAATCAAAAAACGTTCGATTTGTATTAATGTGGAGACGTACTGATTAGTTTTTGGCGAAAACAGATCTAGCCGTTCCGAAGATACGGGACAAAAAGTGCCAAAAACGGTAACTCAGTTTTTAGGAGAACGGAGTGTCCGATTTTAATAATTCAAAATACATTTTACTTGTATTGACAAGATGAAGAACTGATTAAATTTTTGGAAAGGCAGGTCTAGCGGTTATGGACGCTCAATAAAAATAAGTTAAAAACGTCATTTGGCGGTCAAAAAAGTTTATTGATTTATTGATGTACATATGGTACATCAAATTATCAGATATTTTATAGAGATTTTAATAATGTGTTCACATTTTGAGTAAATTTTTTGGGTTCCGTACCAATTACGATACGGAAAGTTTCAGCAATTTGCCTTAAGGCACGATGCCATGCACCCCACTAGTTTTATCATTTATTTTCAATTATATGCATAATATTGTTAAAAACCACACTTTCAAGAATATTAGTTTTAAATACTCAGCAAGTGACAATTGAATATACATACTTATAAATTTGTAAAAATATCAAAAACAGAATATCAATATAAATTTCAAACTTACCATTTTGAAATGCATCTTATTTCTTTAATCACAAACTCACTAATTTTAATCACTAAATATAAATATCACTAAATTATGACTAAAACTTAACTCAATAAAATACTTAATAATTTTTGTATTATATTGTTTTATATAAATATCACTATACTATCACAGAATTAAATGAGTTACTAATATCACTTTTAAGTTAAATCATCACATTTTAATTTAGAAAATAATAAATAAGTCCTGAATTATCCTCACTTTCACTTTCACTCTTTGATGGCTGGTTTAGGACTAACGGTTCGATCAAACTTTATTCCTGATCCTTACACGTAACAGGTATAAAGAGACCCCCATGGGACTTTTATGGTATCAAATTGTTCTATAGTTGGAAGATTTCAATAGATTTTATATAAATGATACATAATTCGAAACAGTAGCAGTAGCACAAAAATAATTTGAAACAGATTCTTTAGAAACTTGTTTGTGAAATTTCCATATTCAGGCTCAGTTTAAACTTTGGCTAATCACATTATATTTTATTACATATTGAAACTAAAAGTGAAAATTACAAATTTAATAACTATAAAATAATAAATGTAATGTTTTTTCTAACTTTCTTTACTTACTTTTTTTTCCTTTTTAATACCATGTTGTTAGTCCTATAATCTAAATATTTAACTTTTGTTATTAGTGTTTTATAATAACACTTTTATTATTTCTTCATTAATTAATAATGAAAAATAATAATACCGTTTTCTAGTAAATTTGGCATTGATTATAGTTTGTCATCATTAATGAACTTCATTATGGAATTTACTAAAAAATTGTTTGACCCAGAATTTGTTTATTTCTTCTCTAAAAGAGCTTAATGGGTAAATTAAAATAATTTATATTTTATCGAATTTTTATTTAGGCATCGTTGGCTGTTGTAAATTAATTTACAGCGCATAAGTTTCACCATTTTCTTAATATCTTCTCTCTAAAAGAGCCTGAGGAGTAAATTAGGGTAATTTATATTTTATTGAATTTTTATTTAGGCATAGTTGGCTATTGTAAATTAAATTTACAGCACATTAAGCTTTACCATTATAATTACTTGTAATTTTGTTATTAAAAACAACTGTAGGTCCAAAAACCTACATCTCCATTCTTCAAGAAATATCTACCTGATCAACTCACCAGGATATTTATTATATTTGAATAACAAATACAAAATATAATTTGGATTGATAAGTACCAGAAAGGCCCAAACAAAGCTTATTACTTAATACTGTAATGATATTATAGAAACTTTAATGTAAAAGTCGTTAGTTCTAAATACAAAAATAGCGAGCAAAATTAAATCACCAATAATGTATGGAGGTATTATTTTTTTATATATATTTCTAATAATTATCCTAGAATTTTTTCCATAGGTATCCTAGAAAATACAAAAAATACTCAAATTGTCATTATTTTTAAATTGATAATCTGCCTTTAAAAAAAAATCTCATTTAAACAGAAAAATCCATATTGTCCATGATCCTGATTAAAATCATACAAATACTTCATTTTTGCCAAATTAAAAATATACAATTTATACTATTTCAGTAATATAAATATCAATTAATATTTTACAATTTATAATATAAGAATATTAAAATTATTATTATTGTTAGCAAAATTGTCGAATTTTATTTTTGTTTTTAGTATTAGATTGAAGATTTAAAACCAACAAAAATATCTTCTTCGAAAGTATACAAAATAAACATAACAAAATATAAAAAATTAATAAAGATCAGAACAAGTACATTTAAACATTTATTTCATAATATATACGAATTCCACATATATTTTTTTATTATTATCACAAATTTGTTATACTAAAATATCATAAATAACATGTAAAGCACATTGTTCATATTACATATATATATAATACACTTATTACATTTTAGTTTCCATAATAATGGTCCCAAATATCAACAATTAAAAATATAATATAGTGTAAAAAGAAATTGGTAAATTTTATCAAATTAAAATAGGTAAAATAGAGAAAACTTTTCTCTCATTTTACGAAGGAATTTCAAAGCTCGTCCTAGAATAAACTTATCATTTGTTTTGGAAAGTATTATAAGATTTAGATATTCAATCATATAATTATATGTGTATAATATTAAGATTAACTTTTTCAAAGTAGTATGAAACATATGCAATAAAGTTATTAATATCAGGTAAAAATTGCGGACGGTATTGCCCATATATTTAAAGTAATGGACAGAGTTTTGTAACCTAGTTGTAAATTGCAGATTTTTTTCCTCAATATTATCACAAACTGAATCGATTATAAAAGAGTTTATATTAATCAGTTGCCGTCTGTTAAGGATAACAATACCCATAAATTATATTTGAAACAATAATCTCTCTATATCAATATATAGAGATCAACAAAATCATATCAAATTTCAAATGATATTATATATATTGTATATTAAAATATATAATATTTATTTGCAAATTTCTGTGCTATATCCCAATCTCGGCTCCATATCAAGCAGTATGATATCAAATTTGAACTTTAATCAATACTTCTCAAATAAAATCTAAGGTAAGATTTG